TTGCTCATTTTTCTCAGAGATTTGTTTTGCAGCCTTATCTACAGTGCATTAGTTCATATTTACTTACTGTAGCAACCAGCTGTCTCTTTTAGGGCTCAATCATCCGAGCTATTATACTGGTGAATCCCCACAATCCTCTGGCTGAGATCTACACCTTGAAGGAGATGATTGCCTTCTTGGAGTTTGCCAAAAGGTATGTTTGCTCACTCTTATCTCACACTGTGGCCTGACATCATAATCCTCCCGGTCTGCATTCCTGTGGCTCCTTTAAGCACACTGGCAATTTACTGAATACAATTCCTTGTGCGATGTCTTTTATTTTACAGCTGAGAGCTTTGTCCCCGTGTGTGGAATATCAAGTGCTCTTGATGGAGTTTTATCACCTCTCTTAACCATCTGCATATTGTCAAGCACAGCCATGTGCCAAGGAGTCTCCTGCATCATCTATTGTTTTCTAAATGATCTTGCCAAAGTAATTCCCTCCATAGAAACCTTGCAGGCGCTGAGCTGTTGTAACCATAAACCACAGTGCTTTTACACTGACATGGGATGTCGAAGGACCCATTTTACATTTATGTAGCATTTTCTTTGCTGTAAACAATCATTAACAATATAAAACCAAGGTTTATTAATGTTGCACTGTATATACTCATACTGCCTTTCTCTCCACCATTTCCTGCTTCAGAAATGAGCTCCACGCTATCGTAGATGAGTTGTACATGCTGACGGTATTTGATGAATCTGTCACCTTTGACAGTGTCCTCAGTGTAGACAGGTACTGCATGACCTCTGCACGGTTACACTATTGGACTCTTAATCATCATAATTGCGTCTGTAGACAGCCTCTTAACTGCTGATGTCCCCTTATTTCAGCTTGCCTGACCCACAGAGGACGCATGTAATGTGGGGGCTGAGTAAAGTATGTATTGTGCTGAGTTCTATGAGTGTGGGACTGAGATTTTGTTTCTCCTGCTGACAGTACAGCTTTTCTTCAGTGGATATTTGCTTTCACAGCTCTTTCTAATTTACTTCTTCTTGTCCCTTCTAGGACTTTGCGATGGCAGGAATGAGAATAGGCACTCTGTATACCGAGAACAGAGACGTCGTGGAGGCTATGGCCCAGCTGGGCGCATTTCACAGCATTTCTGGAACCACCCAGTACCAGGTAGCACAGCTGCTTAAGGACAGAGGTATGGATCAAAGCTTCGCATATCCTTTTGAAAACGCACTGCAGTAATCACACAACTGGAAAAATATCTGCCTACTTTTGGTAAAAACAAGTCAAAATTCAACCAGTGTCAGCTGGGATAGGCTCCAGCCCCCCCACGACCCTATTCAGGAATAAGCGGTATAGATAACGGATTGGTGGGTTTCAGTTTCCTCTGACAGGATGCAGCATGGTGCTCTGCTGCACATCATGCACTTACCTCTTACCACCTCACATTCTTATGTTGTAGAGTGGATCAGCGAGACATTTCTGCCAGAGAACAGAAGCAGACTGAAAGCTGCTCACGGCTACCTGACGGGACAGTTCCAGAGCATGGGTATCCCTTACCTGGACAGGCCTGCAGCACTGTTTGTGTGGGCTGACCTCAGAAAGGTGAGGAGACCACACTCAGCTCAGGATATTAGGGCTGTTGATTCAGTTTTAACTTGCTAATTGAAATGCAGATAACACAGTCATGTAGTTCTCTTGAAATTAAAGGCCCACAGGGTAATTTCTTGAAAACAGTGTGTTCATTCCTGTAGGCTTGATGTGTCACTTCTCTCCGTCTGTTTTGGTAGTACCTCAGAGAGCCGTCGTTTGAGGAGGAGCTGTCTCTGTGTAAGAGTTTCCTCAGACACAAGGTGGTGTTAAGCGGCGGTTATGCCTTCTCCTGCTCCGTGCCTGGCTGGTTCCGCATTGTCTTCGCAAGCCCACAGCACCACCTTCATCTTGGTCAGTTTGTAGTGTATAATATACTCTGCTTAATGATTTGAACTTTTTTATGCCCATTCAATTATTTCGCTACACTCTGTCCTAAATTACTTGTGTTATTCCAGCCCATTGCCTGCTTTGTCTCTTAAATTAACTATTGATTGGATAATAGTTGCTGACTTGTTCTGTTAATGTTTTGTTTTCATTTCAGCCCTGAAGCGAATCAGAGAGGCTTTGAAAGAAATTGAAGAAAAAAACGTCAGCCCCGATTCACACTCTATCAACGAATCCAGTGAGGAAAGCAAAAAGTCAGTGAAAGAGGACAGTGCAGATTCAGACAACGCTGCGATTGTCAATTCAACATCATCACCCCAGAGCAAGTCATCAGACCAGCTGATGGAGAAGGATAGCCCTGTTCCTGACACAGACTCGCTGGCCACTGAGGAGTTTGTGCTGCTGGACTGCCAAGCATCTAAGCCTGCAGAAAGTCTTGGCTCTCTGATTGGTACTCTCAGGCACCAAATCCACTCTTCTGATTGGCTGGAGAAAAACACTCCAGAGCTGTCTGCAGAGGAAGACCCAGAGATTCTTGATGTATTCAAGGACCTGCTGCAAAGAGCCAGAAAGTAAGCTTAGGATAAACAGACATGAATGTAGCTGCCAAATTTCAAGAGCCAGTACTTAAGCATCCTTCTTGTTCCCTGCGTTTATGGCGAAAAGCTCGACACAAACACCTGACTCAAGGTCAAATCTGATGCCTGTTTCTGAGGAGGGAAGAAGAAACATTAGCCAGTAACGCAGGCAAGGTCAGGATGGAGGAACAGAACATTGTCTGCATCTTGAGGCCTTACTTTTAAGCTGTTAGAAAAGATGGGATTGCCAAAATTAGTCACATGCTTAAATATTGTAAGTCTCTTAATCTTAACTGCACACTTTTATTTTTTGATCATATGCACTTTATTATATCAAAATGCATTGTACTTTCTGTAAAGTTAATTATCTGTGAATTAAAGAATTCATATGTCTTTATCTTATTATAATCTTTCATTTTGAGTCTCTGTGAGCCTGAATTGGCTCGTGATTAAAGTCTCCAATTTAGGGTTTATATGTTTTGATTCTAAGATAACTAGTATCTAATTTTGTGCGATAGATGATCTAAAGGCATTTTAGCATGATATATTTTGAAACTTGCTTTTTGGTGGTCTGTGGGTGCTGTCCCGCTGAAACAAAGGAAAGCAGAAGGGGTGGTAGTTATGTGACGAAGAGGAGAGACCTGAGGTTGATGTCGCCACCAGCTGCAACGCATTGTGCATGACTGTGAGAAAATGAGAGTGGGATTTCCTTAAGTGTTTTGCCATGTATAACAACCCACAGACACCCCCTACAGTTTCTGCATTTGACATAAATGTCGGAGTGGCATTTTGCTGTTGCAGCATATCGCTCATGTTTCAAATAATTTTTATACTTTTTAGCTTCCTTTATGATTTTCTCTTTGTTCCTTGTTTGCTAATATCAGCCAAATAAATGTCCTGAAATCACTGAATTGCTGTTTTTGGTACTTTCACTTTCTCTACAGTTGGCGAGTTACATTGGCGATGTCATGGGGGAATTTAACCGCCAGCTGGGGGAGTTTCCGTTGCAGCAGAGGCGGAGTAATACTGAAGAGTTTGATCTACGAGTTAGGGCTTGTGGTCATGAGCAGTAATGTACCAGGGTGTTGAGAGCGTTTGTATAGTAGTAATTGTCCTGAAGTAAACACTAAGTAAACCATGCTTTAAAACGTTATTCGATTTTTATACAGACCAACCAGCCTTCTTTTTGGCAGCTTTTTCCCCCTCAATGACAACAAAGGTAAGTGTACCTTTAATTATAATTTTACATTGTTACAGATGATGTATATGACCAAAATGACAAGCTATGCTTTTTGACAGATCTATTTGCTGTTACTCGACTTCAGCACACTAATTATTCATGTCTTCTCCCTTGTGTTGTCTGTTTTCTCTGGCTCTTGCTTTTTTCAGTCCTGTAAAAATATGAGGTTTCTGGAGTTGGAGGATGCCACCAGTCGCTTCAGGTTTGCTCATTCCTGTGTGGGGTTGGCAGGTTGCCTGTGTGTGTGCTACGCGGTCTGTACACCGTTCTGGCTGAAGGAGAAGGGACTCTGGGCAGAGTGGAATAACACCAAAAGTGACCAGCCAAATCATAAAGATCCTACTGTCTTCAGTGGTGAGCAACCAGCCACTCTGCTCTTTAACATTTCTCTGGCTGTTACTCTCAGTTATTGTAGGTTAAAGGTTTGACAGACAATGTGTTGAATAAAATGAGTTGGGAAGGGCAGCATATTAACTGAGGCATAGCTATATCTCTGTTGTGCTGTGTTGATGAGGCACTGGTTATGCAAGAGTTTAGCCCTAGGGCGACTTATGTTACACCTCTGAATCTCTAGAGGAGTTCAATATCAGGGAGAACATTAAAAAAAAGAAACGCTGGGTTGCAGAAGGCCTTCTCAGCAGCAGTGGGCGAGTTTGATCTTGCTCTTATGTATATCAGAGAAGTGCCTTCTTTTTATCTGGTAAGTCTCTGAACATAGTGAACATCTTGATCAGCTGAAACCTGGTCTTTGTCAGTTAACTAAATCTTGTTTCTTGTCATTGTTAACAAAGAAAAAACCAGGTCCCTGTCAGTTAGTTTTATTCCACAAATATATATTTGTTATGTGAACACACTTTAGGAGTGAGTATAGTGTGACTCTTCTGCCTTCAATAAAGACTAAAGACAGCTGTTCTTTCAAGTTTCCAAAAGGAAGGTAACAAGACTGGAATAATAAAATCCAATAAATCCAGTGATAGTAATTATAAGTTAGAAAATATAGAATTAGCAGAACCAAAGACAAGAGTTGCACCAAAGGTACTGAAAATTATTGTAACAGAAATACCAAATTAACAAATACCTGTACCTACAAATAACACACCAGTGAGGTCATTTGGGGAGTAGATTAAAGTTGTCATTGTTTGTTTGATCACAAGTAGTTGACAACATGGTGGGTGTTACAGTGTCCTTTTTACTGTTACGAATGGAAACCAAATGTTGGTTATTGTCAGAAAGTCCCTTGTCAATGTTTGTTTTACTTCAATGTGTCATATTTTATTATTCAAAAACACTCAGAATGGATCTGACATAAGTGTGAGATTGGCTTTTTAGAGAGCCACTGAAAAAGTACACAAACTATTGATAGGAAGATGGGAAAGTTTCTGTACTGTGGCCCCAGGTTTCACTTATAGCCAGGTTCATGCTGAGGGCATCCACAGGAGTGTGTCATCACTTCATGTTTCTTTCTTCATGTTGACTCCTTATATTAGAAACATAATCCAAGTATGGCATTATACAGTGAATATCAGTCTAGTTTACCTGCTATCTATACAGTGAATCTATTGTGTGTCTTCCAGCCCTGGAAGTAGAAAGAGTG